ATAAATGTGACGACACTACGTGAAAATTTAATATGATTGTATGTGTTGTATATTACTAGCAGTATGTTTGGATTTTTATTTTTATCAAAGAATCATCAAATAATCTATAGTCTCGTTATGTGAAGATATTTTGATGTCATTATGCATTTGTAAGAATATAGTGGTCAGTCAGTAGATTAATCTGCATTTACTTTCTGCAACTTCAATTTTTCACAATGTGAATTTGATATTTATTTGTTATCAGTGATAGTCGTTATCTGAGGGCAGATTTTGAACGGTGAAACACTTCCGGCACTTTTCGCCGCATAGTATTTACAGATCTCTTAGTAGACTGGTGCTCTCGTGAATGTTTTGCTGCAAACTGCCGTGAACTGACATTTTTTGGCGGTATCCAAGGAATAAGTTGAGAATGGCGTGAAATTTCATCCAATTTCAAAATCCGACCTCGCAATGATTCATTGAAACGACGTTCATTTTTCTAAAAAAAAGTGTTCTAATAATTATTACATAACGATGATTCTAGGCTTTATATATGGAGCTCTTAAAGAGATATATTAGTTTTTTTTTTAATCTTGTGAATGTAACCTTTATTTGAAGCCAAACATCGTAAGCTTCTTTTGCAAGCACCTCTTTGTACTCTTTTTGATTTTTGTTCTGAACTTCCATTGTTTTTTTAGATTCCAGTTGCTTACGCTGCACTTTTTCATTTTTAATTTTCTTCTCTTCACACCTCAAACTTTTATGATATGTTCTATTCATAAATATTATTTTCTAAACTAAACAATCATGAAATAACTGAAATTGAATAGAAATTTAAATATGATGAGAATGTAGTTTTCTAAAATCAAATCATTAAACACCATTAATCCAGTGTAACAAGAAATGTAGGAAGTGTAAGTGTTATTCTTTTTGAAAAAATTCATGAAATATTCTTTTAAATACATGGATCAAGTAATATTTAATAATTAAACTGCTTTTGCATGAAAATGTATTAAATCTAGTGAGGTCACTACTACTTGGTGAACGAGCACATCTCGTAAAATTCATTACCAAGTGTTGAATGCTTTTTGAGCCTCTTGTGTTTTTTCGTCTTTTTCTTGTTTCTGTTTCAATTTTTCTTTCTCGAGATTCCGTAATCGTTCTTGTCTTTCTTTATTGATCTTTTGCAAGCGTTCACTCTTCCATGCTTGAAACATCTGGATTTAACGTGTAATCTGCCATACAAAATTCAGCAATTTGCTTATGAATGTAAAACTTATTATACTCTATTATAATTTTTTCTAATCGAATAAAAAAGTTTGATCAGTCAATAACTAGTGAATGATTTTTGAGCGCAGTATCTAAAATTGCATCAGCTAATGTTGTAATTATAACAGAATTGCTAATTATCTCTCTGTATGCAAAAATGAAACTCTGTAATCAGCGTTCATTAGCTTCATTTATGCGGTGTATCTACAAAAATTTATAGTGTATTCAGTAATTAACTATAATTATTGCAAATAATTTTCAGTGTGTAGCATTTTTCATTAGCTTTTCATCCTATACAAATCATTAGATGATGACATTTAAGGATCTTCAACTTTTCTCTTAGTAATTTATTTTCGAGTAACCTTAGTTGATTCCTCTCGTTTCTTTCTCGTTTCCTCCATTTTCTTCCGTACTAGTGCCTTTTCTCTTATTTTTTCTTTTTTTTTACGTTCACGCATGGCTTCATCTGCTCGTTCCCTCCAAATTTCGTATTGCCTCTGTGCTTCTTTTATTCTTAATTCTTTGACCTCAATTATGATTCAATAAAAATCGAAAAATTTTTTTTCTCTATTTAAGGAAAATAATTGCACTTTTTGTTACCGCTGAATCGAAAAATGATTTTATTAACGCATTCAAAATACTGAAATCACCTTTTTTGCTTCTTCTTCTTCCTCTTTTTGTTTTCGTCGTTTTTCTCTTTCCTGTTGACTTTTTGCTCTTAGCCATGTCTAAAATTTCAAAAATAACCATAACTTCAAAACTTTATTCATTAAAAATTTGAAGATGTGATTAGTAGTTTTTTTTCGCAGTATATCAAATTAAAAGCCAATAGTTTTACGTCATATGTTGCTTTTGCGTATGCTGAGCTCTGATCTGATTCTCGAGTCAATGATTGTAAGTCTAAGTCGCGTCTCATTGCTGCACTGTAATATATATAACAATAGCAGCAGTATTATATCTGCTTCATATATGAAAATTTGTACGAAAATTTCGAAGAAAAAATTAATTTCGTGACTGTTTACTTATATGCTTTGCTTTTAGAAGACAAGCTTGATTGAGATTTGTCACTTGATTCTGCTTCCATTGTCTTATTCTTGCCGGTTATATCGTTCTTTTTGATAACCTGTGTCAAAGAATAATAATTCAAAAACTTGAAATTATTTGCAAACAATTTGAAATTTCTACATTACTACGAAAAAAGTTATGGAAATTTTTGCACTTTTACGTTACATTTTTGCTTTTCTATTGTCAGAATTATTAAATGATAATTAATTAAACAATTACTTCAAGATATTTCATGATTTAACATATGATCATCACATGTAAGCTTGTTTTCTTTCTTTATAAGAGAAATTTTTTAACCTGTCTAGTCATTTTTGTTGATTGAATGAGCTTTTTATCACTTGAATGGTTTAGTGATTGCTTTAGTGATTGGTCGTTATTGTCTGTATTTATTATGTCATTTGTTAGTTGAAGCTTTTCATGAACAAGTTCACGAATAGTTAATTCATTCTTGTTATCAATTGCTTCCATTTCTTGTTTAAAATAGTGAGATTTACAAGAGATTCATCAGAACTTATAATTTCATGCAAATTTTTCACTACAACAGTGAATAAAAGTACTAGAAAAAATAACGCTTTCAATGATTAAATATTTGCAAAACAGTTTTCAAGATAAAATTTCTATTTTAAAAATTAAAATTTAGTTTATTTCATGATCTTACTTCCAGTTTCATCTTCGCTGGAGCTATCAGAGCTGAAACGTTCATCAAAATATTCATTTTCTTCGCTGTTGCTTCTACTATTTTCATTATTATCTTCCTTTTTACTTCCACTTTCATTTCCATTGTCGCTGTCATCATTGTCTTCGTCATCATCGTTTTCATCGTCATTATCTTCTCGCAGCCAACGCTCGACGATTACTCCATTTTTCTTAAATGGAGCACATTTAGAGATCAAAAGATGAATAATTTTATTGCTAAAATAATTACTCGAAACTTTGTAAACTAACTCAAAATGTGACCGAAGAACGACGCACATTGATAACATTAGGTTTAACGTATAAGGGCGTTGAATCTTCAGTTGATAAGAATGTTTCTTGATTTCGACCATGTCTTGTTATTGGTCTTTCTACTCTTTCTAATTCTTTGGATGGTACTAAAATTGATAAGTTTGTACGAGGTTTCCAAATTAACGATAGCTCAGAAACTTCAAATGGAAGATTTTTACGTACTTTTATATATTAAAATAATCATTAGCACAAAAACTATCAACTTTTTTCAATTGCTGTTTGATTTTTAGACCGAATCCCCAAGAGTTCATCTAATGCATTATCATACGCGGTTCGATGTACTTGAGATGTTTCATCATGCGTCATTTTATCATTTCTTGAGAATCTGAAAAGTTACTGTAACAAACTTGATTACTCTCAAGTAATATTCATAATAGGGTCATGAATTGAGAAAATAAATGGAAGAAAGGCAATAATGTTATCACTAAAAAAGAGTGGGTGAACAGTAGCAGATTAAAATAGTGCATTCTTTAGCAAGTTGTGATTAGTAAACATGAGAACAAGTAAAAATTTATTTCATACTGAGAGCAATTTTCAAGAGATTTTCACTTAGATAAAGAAATATTATGTCAAAAAATAAGTATTAGTAATCAATATAATAGTATTGTCCCAAATACGAAACTTAAAATAATTGCAGGATAAGTAAGTGGTGAAGGCAGCAGAATTTTCTATACATCTATCACACATTATTAGCCAGAATGTAACTATAGCAACAAATAGCGCTTGGAACAACCCTGATTTTAATATCAATCTCTACTGCTATTTGCATAAACTTTTTATCATCATATATGATTTGAAAAATAATCTACGGCAATTTACACGAATAAATTTAATGCATCTTCTCAGCGTATTTATTGAACAATACTAAATGATTACACGTCAAAGTATTCATTTACTATTGTTTATTTACGTCAGTGTATTCAAGATGTAAAGTTGTCAAAGTAATCGTGTTTTCGAGATAGAGTTCTCAATCGTCAACAAAATTATTCAACAGTTTGAAGAAAAAAGACACACAAATTAATATCTTTATTAAAATAAAAGGTTGATTATAACAGTAAATTAATACGAAACTTTCTGGAAAATAATTTCTAATACAATATGATGCCTAGGTTTATTGTGATTCACATCGAGCATTAACAATTGATAAGTTATTACATTAATGAAGAAGGATATTTTGTTTATGTGTATGACATTGATGTAGTATATATTAAAGAATCAAATTCTTGCAATTATAACAAATACAACTACATCAATACATTTTCATGCAACTGATCTGAGGAAGATATCGGCGCACAATAGAATGTGTAGGAAGTCCATGAGCCTGAAAAAGGATGTTTAATTAAAATTTTAAATCAATAAATTAACTTATATTTGGTTTGACGAAGTCTTATTGAGTATAGCGAACATCTACTTAGCTTGGTCATCCATATATTCTATCTCATGTTTTCTACTTCTGAATCACTTGCTTAGCAGAAAAAGTAGGATAAAATCTGTAAAAAGCTTAATCTATTAAAAAGTCAAATCATCTTCTTTATATTAAAATATAGAAAAACTAGAAAAATTCTATACAGTCAATAATTAAAATGTAATCCAATAATACTATCACTGACATCACACATTCAATATTTCCAAAAATGCATTACTTGTGATCCCATAGTGCTATCTTCTACGAAACTTCCACTAAATTCATAACCATTATCGTTTTTCTTGCTATGGTAGACACAGTAAATAATGAACATTGCAATCGCGGAGGAAATTATTGCGAAAACAAATATGAACAAAAGTATTACTGCCAAATCATAACTTGCAGTACTAAAATGAGGTAGTTATTCAAACAGGAGAAAAAGAATTAGAATTACGCATAGTTTTGTGAAATTAAAATTCTAAACAGATTTGATAAATTTTTGTTTAAATATTTAATACCGAATAACTTATAGTGCTAGGGGCTACTTTTTTAAAACGCTGGTTAGTGCTACGTAGGGAGATAAAATTTCTTTTTAAAAGTTTGTTCAGATCAGATGATTGCTATTTTTTATTTTTCAAATCTCTCAAATGAAGTACATAAAACAAACATTTTGATTTTCTGTGATGAGCAACATCCATCTGGACAGCAACCAACATCACACAAGTATGTAATTGGATTCTCACTGGCTAAGTTTTTATAGTAACACAAATAACCACTATCATCTAAAATAGCTTTTTCTTTATCCAATTTTGGTAGCTTAATCAAAGCATGATGTGATATGTAAAAATCAGCTAAATGATTTCTGTTTATCAGGTCATATTTGTTTAAAACTTGTTGCACAATCAAACATCAAACTCACCAATTTTTTCTCGGTAAATTAAATCACTCAAATTTTTTCTAATTTCGTTTGCGAGTGACATAATTGATCTGAAACAGTAACTTTTATTTTGCAGATTACCTTATGAAAACATTAAAATTGACTATTATAAGTTCCTGCTGTATCGTTGACATTCAACGTAGCTTGCACTCAGTTCTATTCATTTATTAATTTATGAAAAATAATGAGAATTCAGTGTAGCACATATAACTTAATTTCATGATATCAATTTGGAATCTATTGCAAACTGATCAACAGTAACACACCACTATCCATCATGATAATTTATATAATGATTAGTCCTAAATAAAATCACTATAATTCTCTAAATATCATACTCAAATTTAGTGGCATAAAAAGAAGTAAAAAACTAAATTACAAGTGTTAATCGGAGTTTTAATGTTTAGAGAAATTAAAGCTTGCGCTAGAATACAACTTTTGATTACAAAAACTGTAATTAAAGTTTATGTGAAAAAGAAATATAGCACAGTGACATGAAATTGTTTTTTTTTCTGATGAGCATTATAAAGCACATAATTTAAGGCTTATAGAGAAGAATATTTTAAAATGTTTCATTAAAAGCAAATGGCCAAAACAGATGAACACGAATTATCAACAGTTACAATAGTCAGAACTGTATATATAACTAAGATTAGCAAAGTAACAGAAGAGAACACAATTTTTATTATTTTATAAAAATAAGACAAATTTGCACAACACTTACGTTTAAAAATGTTGTGTAACCAATGTCAAAATAGTAATTCAAATAAAAAGTTGAACATAATTTTGTTTAAATAAAAATAAGCAATTTTATAAGGTCTAATTAGTTTTTTCTACTTTCAAACGAAAATTAAATTATGTGCTTAACTATTAATTCTTACAAAGTAATGAGAAAGAAAAGAGAAGAGAAGTGACAACGGTTAGTGCCATTTATGTTGACTATCCAATACTTGTGGTCACTCAATGTCCGATCAGTTGGACTATATATGTAGCAATCATATCTGTTTACTTTATGGCTGGCACTTCTTTTCGCTGGTTGCTCTTTTTCACATTATTTGGAATAGACGCACAAATGGATAAAGCCAAACATACGTCAAATTTTTTACTTCTCTCTACTACGTTTCATACACTTTCAAATTAAATAGTATAATTCTTTGAGTAACTTACAAAATCTATACGTTTGCAAAAATTCTAACATTTTATAGAAATTCTTAAATATTTGCTTATATGCTAGCAAAAATGTGCTAATTGTAATTTTTTAACAAATTTAATTCTGATGGAATCAAATTTTATATTTACAAGAAAAATAATCTTTCCATTGTAGTTTCAATTGTGCTACTTTCTAAATAATAACATGCTATAACATTGCAAAGATTAGCACACATAAACAAAACAGTTATCTGATTGTACTAATTGATTGCTTGAAATTTTGTTTTCAATATGATTTTGTGCTCTATACTACACAATTTCAAGAACTTCTGCTGTACATCTTTGAGCGAAATGAGCAAGCTGACCATTAAAGACCAACTACCTCCTATTAGTTACTGAAAAAACCTGTTACAAATCCTTTATTAATAAACAAAAACTGTGTAATAGTACACAAAATATTTGCAATTCAAGAATTATGGGCAATACCAAGTGGTGCAGTCTTGAAGCGAAAACTAAAATGCAGTAGATATGTAATGAAAACGTTTGGTGCAGTAAATGCTAATACTAAATAGGTTGTTTGAATTGTCAATTGTTTTATTAAGTTGAGGTCCTTGATTTTGTTACATGGTGGAATAATGCAAGTTCGTCTACAATGCATAGATATGATTAACATAAATTCTGAGTCATAGACAGTGGTAAGAAGTTGAAGTGACTTACGTACGTGTAATGAAAGATTGGTTTTTGTATGAAATGGTAGAATTAAAAAGACCGTTTGCATGTAAAAGTAAGGAAGTGTTAGCTTCAAGAAGTTGAAGGAATCTGTTTTACAGAAAAAATGTCAATTTTCCTAGTTTTGATGAATGCAGAATTCAGTCAAGTATTATAAATTAAGCACATTGTTATTAATGCTGTCAGTAGTGTCTGAATTCTGAAGATGCCACTAAGCTTATTTGGGAGAGGAACTGGAAACGTGAAGTCACAACAGCTTGAACACCCATCTCGTGGTTCGTGCTAAAATTTTCCCTTCAAAATTCTAAATATTAAACATGTTTAGTACTTTTCACCACTTTTCCATGTTTTTAATATTTCAAAAGTTTTTACATGGTAAAAATTTAAAAGTGCAGCGTAAGATAGGAAAAAATATGAGCAATTGCATTCTTTTCCGAATGTAAACTGTGAAGTTTTCTGGTCATTGTAGAAAAGCAGTATGGAGGATTTTGTATTCGGACATTTTTTGTAATTTTATTCTCTAGTCTCATATGAAGAATTATTCCATAACATTTGCTAATGGTATTTCGATAGTATCAAGTTTTGGAAGTCCAATAAGTCTAGGCTTATCAGAATTTTTTTTCCATACTTTTTTGAATTTAGGCTGTAAAGCATTCCTAAAAATGTAAATTTCTTAAGGAAGCTCAGGCACATCTGATGGGAAAGATTGGCGCGGTTCAGTTGTAAAATTACCTTGTCACACAGTAACATTGGAAAAAAAACTCGCTGAAGGTAAATAGTGAATTTCAATTAAAGGCTCAAATTTAGTAAGCTGAAATTTATTCACCTATTTTCCAGGTGGATTTGCAATCGTCTACTTAGCATCAGATAAACAAGGGCATCAGTATGCACTCAAAAGACAGTTTATTAGTGATGATGTTCGACAACTAGAAGCTTGTCGAAGGGAATGTCGCATTGTTGTGAGTCGATTTCCAGTCTGTTTATTAGAATGACTAAAATATTTTAACTATTACTTTCATAATTTAGGCTTTAATAAGTAATCTGTGCTAATATCACATCTTCCCTTTCAGAGTTGCTTAGCTGGACACAAAAACATTATTTCATACGTTGATCACATGATTTTGAAGAATAACTGTGGTGTTTATGAATGCTCACTGCTTACTGCTTTTTATAAAAGTTAGCTTAGTCATTTTTAAAGTTCCTGTTTTTCTCAGCAAACATATTTGTAATCAATAAACAGAATTTGTTCGTGAGATGCAAAAATTGTTGATTTTTCAGACAGTGTTCTGCAGCTGATGAATGAGCGTCATTTAGCGGGACGATGTCTCTCAGCAAAGGAAATTTTGAAAATTTTTTGTGATGTATGTGAAGCAGTCGCTCGATTGCACCATTCTCAAACTCCAGTAATTCATCGTGATTTAAAGGCATTTTACTTTATCATGTATTTATTTTGTGCAAAATAAGTATGTGGACTTTCTGCATTAAAATTTCTTAGCTTCTCCATTTTGCTTAGTTACATTCTATTCCAAATTTAATTTGCCTTAAAATGCAAAATTTAAGACGGAAAACGTTTTAATCGATGAACGTCAACGTGATTCACCTGTATATGTATTATGTGACTTTGGAAGTGCAACAACAAAAGTTAATTTCTCATTATTTTTCCTTTTTACTTAACAAGGTGCTGTGATTTTTTAAGTATTGTTTTTTTTCTATGAAAAAAATTTCGTCAAAGAAATTACGTGGTAAATTGGTTGTTGCTGAAATTTTCACTAACAGAGGTACTAACTTTCTGCAGTAAATTTGATACTTGTGAGTTAATTTAGCATTCATGCTCCTTACACTATTTATTTATGAAGGTTTTGTCATCCGAAACTCAATCCCTGCAGTTTATTGAGGAAGAAATTCATCGTTATACAACATTAGGGTATCGTGCTCCGGAAATGGTTGATATCTATTCTGGGAAGACCATTGGTCTGCTTTTATTTAGAATGTTACGTCGTTATTGATAACAATTAAAGACTTTCATATATTTAGAAGTTCTGGAAAAATTTAGTACTTTATATTTTTTGAATTTCAGGAACCAAGATTGATATCTGGGCTCTGGGTGTCATGCTGTATAGGTTGTGTTATTTCAGTCTTCCATTTGGTGAAAGCTCGCTTGCTATTCAAAATTGTTCATATAGTTTTCCAACTGAACCTAATTATCCAGAAGAATTACGTGCTATTATCAGTAATTTGTTCATTTATTTAACGAAATTTGTAATTTTCAGTGGCAGTAAAATGATGCCCGAAGTGGGTTTATCGTTTTTCTTTAGTTCTAATACCAGTAGAAGAAGTTGTGATGATTTCGTTGAGTTGAATGTCGGACTTGCATTATTTAAGCGTAGTATGAAACGAACAAAATGATTTGTTGGAAAGGTCCCAATTTTTTAATTCTTTTCATTTCACGTTATGATTGGTATGTATGAAATTGAAAAATAGAATATAGCCAAGTTCGTGAATGAACTTGCTGTTGATAATTGTAGAGGTACTTCTTAACCCAGATCATGTTCGTCGTCCAGATATTTATCAAGTCTCAACCGCTGCTTTTGAAGCTGCTGGACAGCGTTGCCCAGTTGGTAATTTGAATGTAAGTTAGCTCATTTTGGTATTAACTACTCTAATATTAAAACTAATATGAGGTTAATTCTTCTCTATTGACTGCCTGTTGAAAAAAATTAGTTTGTCAGATAACTGAATAAGTTTGCCTTCTAAATAAAGGATCAAAACAAAAATATGAGACACATGGATTGCAATTTTTGATCTCACAAAATTCACGTGATATTTATTAAAATATTGCTTTTGTTAGAATAATTTATCTGCCTGATTTCTTTGTCGTTTGCTATGTTATTAGAATTTTCAGTTACAATTTTTTAGAAAGTTGCTCCATTGCGCGTGGTTGATGTTATTCAAAGCTTTCGTCAGCAAGAGGACATTGTAATGAAAGAAGAGGCTACTTCATCACGTACATCAGCATTTGCGAATTTCGATAATTTTGTTGCACCTAAAGAAGTTGCTACTTCAATTAATCCAAGATTACGTCCAAAGCCCTATGGGAATGTAGCTTGTTTGAATTTGGTCGACTCTAGTTCACGCTTGCTTGATGTAAAATTAATTTTACAGTAGTATTCGTTTCCTTGAATTGTTTTAACTTAACATATATTTCCAGAGTTTCACTGTTGCATTTTGACAGGTGCAAAATGGCAAACAACAAAATTGTTCTTTCAGTCCTGCACCAAGCAAAACAAATGAAGGTACATCACTGTGATATTTATACTTCTATGTAAAATTTCATTATTAAAGGATTTCTTATATCAGTTAAACGTGTAAACTGGATATTTTTCTTTCGATCCAAGCTTTCATATTTCAGTTTCTGTTATCTTCCATGTTTCATTCTTTTTAATTTTATGTGAAGTAGTGACATCAAATATATCATGTCGTTGGAAGTTTCAGTCTATGAAAGATCTACGCAGAAGTCGACCCGTGAGGCGGCAGAAGAACGTGGAAGTGAGACTCTGAAATCAAGTGCATTCAGGTTATTTTATTTCTTGCAGTCAAAAAAATTATTCAAAAGTTACTCGTCATGTTGTTGCTTTTATTTTGTCGGTTCTTGACTTCAATTTTTCAAATGGTTCTTATCACAAAACAACTTCGTAAAAATTAAACACTCAGCATCACTATTACGTAACGTGGAATTGTTTGTAAACCAAAGTTAGTTATCACATTGCTTTAATTTGCAGTGATATAATTTATTTATTCTTTTCTTTATTGTTAAATGTGTATGCTTTATGTTTTCGTTTAGTGCGTACTTAATAAACTAATCACGAAGGATTTGTTTCATGCTTATCTTTTAAATTTTTCAGACCATATAGCGCGTTTAGTGAAAATGAAAAAGTTGGAGCACTATTCACTGTCAAATATCAGGAACGTGTACCTGAAATAGTTTCTTCTCAGGGTCTCGGCTTTCCAGTTGAGCAGGTTTATTTGATACATATATGTAATGTTTAGTCAAATATTTCTACTTTCCCGTAAATACTGAAATTTTTATTTTCAGGACGATGATTTATCTTGGAACCCATTTTTGGTAGCACCATTCACATCACGAACGTACGATAAAGGTGTTTTTAAAATTTTTGATAAATTTTAGCTATTTCAAAAAATATTAGATCATTTGAAACATCAGCTTATTGCGACTTATTTTCTGTTGTCCTGTAGGTAAAATGTGGGTTTTGGTGGATTTCTCAAGCAAACAAAAAAGCGAAAATTATTCGGAAAATACTTTTTTATTACCTGCGTTGAATTATAGATTTTGTGTTTCGTTTCTCCATTTATTCTTTGAATAAGGTATTGTTATTAGCGTTATCTTTAGATAAACTGAATGAAAATGATCCAGATGAAGAAATTAACGAAAATGATCCAGATAAAGAAATTAATGAAAATGATCCATTTGCTGCAGCACCAATCCACAGCTACCAAATAAAACGTGTTATAACAGCAAGGTTATTTTTTGAATTCTCAATTTATATTCGTATTCATTCAGTCGTGTTAGAAACATGTTTTTTTTGGTGGCTAAATAGATCAGAGATCATGATTGACTAGTGAGCATCATTTCGAGAATTTCTTCAGTATTCAAATTGAAATTCCAGGCGTGCCGAACACGTTTCCAGATCAAAAATGGCGTGTGAGTTTCATATCTTAGTAGAAGTAGAAGACACTTCAGATATTATTTTACTTGTTTCTAAAGACCTTTAGCAAAATAAATTTTATGAATTGCAGCACAAGACAAATTTGATTTCTCCGACGATATTTTGGCAAGAGGCTGTTCTTAGCCAAGTTTTTGCAACTCGATGAACCAGTAACACATAATTTAAGAAGTTATTTTGTAATATTCGATTAATAAACGTGTTATTTTCTTCACTCTTTTTCAATATTAATGGTAGAAGTTTTTTGAAAATGAAATTCATTCATTTTTTTATGTGCAGAGAGCAGAGAGCACGCTGCTGAAATTTTATTTTGCATGAGTTTTAGTTTTGTATAAATCTTTTTTCATCAGTCAAAAAAGCTAACAATGAAAAACCTTTTCCAATTTGAACGTGCAAAATGAGGAGCATTATATATATAGTTGAGTTCTGAATAAATTATATACGAAACGATATCGCATACACTATAAAGTATATACAACCAGTTCTCACCTCATTCAAATATTTGAGTGATAAGCTTGTAACATTTTTCCCTCCTAAACATAGATTTCTCAACTAAAAGCATTTAAAACTTCTTAGATTGCAATCGTTCCATTCATATTCTCGAAATTATTGCGGCTCATGGTGATGCAAACAATTTGGAGTGACCAGTTGTAGAAATAGATCAAGAATACGTGGTAATTACTTCTTTTCCTGTTCCCCGTATGAATAGAATGCGAGGTATTTTATCAGACAGTGCCTCAAGATAATGCATGTAGTCATCAAGACCTGAAATACGCTTGCGGGCTTAAACATTCACGGATAGTTCATTACATTTGCGAATAAAGAATTATATGCAACGATGTGTATAATCATTCTACTTCTTGATTTCTGTTGCTAACCTTCTTTTGCAACCGGTGGTTTGGGTAAATTCAGCAGCACTAGTTGACTTTCAGGAGAATTTGCGAGAATTAATTCATTCAGCCGAACTGCTGTATGCATCTTACGCACCTGAAATAACTTACAGTTATGTCTCAAATTAACTTTTTCTTTATTTAAAAATCCTGTTATTTATACCAGAAACTCATACTTTGTGCAACAGTTAATTGAAACACAATTTTTGATGGATAAAAAAGTTTGTATTTTGAGAAATAAAGCTCAGTCTCTTGGTGACTGTAGTTTATGTCGGCTTTTTCATATTTTCTACATCATCAAGAATAAAGCTATATTAACTAAAATTGGCTAAAATCTATTCAAAATAAAACGTAATTTTTTTTTGTCAAGCATCCGGAACTTTTTATCTTGATCGGTTGTATCATTTTCACCAACAATTTCGTTCTTCGACTCCATTATTGTCACTCGCCTATTGTTGAACAATTTTAATAGATGAACCATTTCATATTTATATGCTCGCATTAACAAAGAAATTTAGTAAGCAAAAATTTCTAAGCAGCTAATATTAACTAATTAAGAATTTTTTGAAGATAACTGAAAAGTAAAAGCAATAACTTCTCGTCATGATGCTTTGGCGCTTTTTCATCTGCAGACGAGATTTTCTTTTCATGTGATACCTTTGACGATGTTGATTCTTCACCAGCATCAGTATCGCTGCTTTTGCTATCATTTTTCTCTTTTATTCCATCATCGATGTCATTATTAATACTAGTTAATTTATCAATTTCATTCCCGTCTACTGCTGTTGTTATCTAAATGATTTGAAATTGTTCATGCATCTAGAATTTTTTTTAAATTAAATAAATATAAACCATATAGAAATGTAATAAATATAAAAATTATAATTTCTTATGTTTCAAATCCTTATCTCATTGATTTTTAATTATTATCCTTACTGATGTTCGATCTAATTTCTGTTTGATTTCACGCATTTCATGCATATAACGAGTTCGTTCTTCCATTAGTAATGTTCTTTCAAAAGCATTTTTTGAAATTTTGGGATCAGATAATTCCACAACCTGAAGATATGAAATGAAAATAATTCTCAGTTACAGAAATCTTGATAAGTGATACTTTGTAGTTCATTTAAAGACCCAGTTTCTTAATTTTGAGTCTTTTTTATCTAATTTGTCAACAATTTTTTCTTAAAAAGAGCTTATCTCGAACTGACTAAATACAATTCCCATATGCTATGTATATAGCCAGTCAAATTTATGAAAATATGTTTGGTGTCAAGAAAATGAATATAAACTTATCTAGAATCTTTAGGATATAGAAACTGTAACTAAAATCTCATTAAAAACACTGAAATTTATTACTGATCAATACCATTATGCTAGCGTCGATCCGCAGCTGATAAACATATTTTTGAAGATCAGCTTGTAATTTTGTATTATTATCCATTTCTTGCGCAATTGCTATTACTCGAAGTTTACATCCTCGCCACACCTTTGTGCATTTACGTTGATTTATAGTTTATCATTTAACTTATATCCTAATTATTTTCAATTCTGACCTAAATTTCCGTGTTTTTTCACTACGTAGGATTATTTTAGAAGTATTCGTAATAAGTTTTTGTTAAATATATTAGATCAATCTCTTTACTTAGGATGATTACCTCTATAAATGTTTTAAAACTTTATTTTTAAAAAAAATACAATTTATCTGAGATTATACTTTGCTCTGAGTCAATAAGTAAGCAATAAGTATGCATAGGCCACCATCTTGCACGATCCAGTACACATCAATTGTTCCAGTAAGACGAATTACCGAAGCAGGGAAATTAACAATGTCTTTAGCAACAACAAGGCACATATCAGTTGCAAAGCCAACATGCAGTTTATCTGTGAAAAAAAGGACTACAAAAATAAGAAAAAGTTTTTTATTGGCTTAGAATTAGTGTAAGTTTGTAAAATTATTTTAGAAGAACTTAAGCTTATCTCAAACTTTTAGAACTTTAGAACCTTACCTGTAAAAGTTTGATACTCAGAATCGATAGCTTCACATGATGAGCCATGAGTATGAACTGGCCAGCTTAATAAAAGTGTATTGGGTCGTAAACCACCCATTCCAACACTTTGAATTAGTGTTGACACACTTCCTTCAATCTAAACCAAAAATCGCTATTTTCTTTGTGACATTTTTTGTTGTTTTTTTCGAATTTTTAGATAGTAAATAAGTTAGAACGAAAGCAAGCATATTAGAATCATTACATGAAGGATGCTTAATAGGAATATTAGTTCAGAATGTTTAACGTGATAAAAGTGGAAAAAATAATACTTACTTGTGTTTCACCATATATCAATGTTTTTGCAAAACCACGCAGTCTAATTTGATTCATATCAAATTCCATTCGTGCTTTCACCTATTGCATTTTATTTAAAATTATGAAAGTTCTTTTACTTTACAAAAAATGAAAACAAATCAGTTTTCTTTTTTTTAAACTATCAGTATTTGGTATGATAACTAATTGCACAAACCAAATGAAATGAATTCTTTTTATGAAGAATATACCTCTTCTGCTCTTTTTCTATCATCACTAACAAGAGGATTACCGCGTATGAATGCTACAACAATAGTTAAACCACGACTAGCTTTAAGCTGTGAAGCCAAATTAATTAAATTTAAGTAGCGCATATCAACAAGTTCTTTAGACCATGGCATCGATAAAAGTAACAATAATTGCGGCCTAAAATCATGTCAATAATAACGAAGTAATTTTATTGTTGAAATAAAATGAACAACAAAGAATGAATATTATGATGTTTAAAATTCAAAACATTACGCGCTAAAGACATTAGATTTAGAAATTAAATTAAGTATGAAATTTCAAAACGGAACCTGAAATTCTTTGCATGTGGATCTTTTTCATCAATTTTCATTAGTGAATACTGAGCTGTTGTGAGAGCAAGACCTCGTATTCCATCACCCCATTCTTTCTTTGCACTAAAAGTTAATAAATATATTCCTGAAATAAGAAATAAGTGATTTTAAATTATTTACACCGTTCTAAATATCTAATGATTGCTTAATCTATATTTTGATATTGAATGTATAAAAGTGATAAAATATTTTACCCTTTCCATTCCACGTATTTGTATATGACGAGACATAACAAGCATGAAACGATAGCATAATCCCAATGAGTGCTAAACATAATAAAGAAACAAAGCCCTGCACCGAGCAATGCCAAGGACCTGAAAATTTTGATGAAGATCCTATAAATATACAAGATAACGCATAAAATGCGTGAAATAATTTATACCATTTAAAAATTTCTAAACTCACTATTGAATGGATTACGTGAGATAGAAGTAACTATATACATTTACTGTTTCCTAGTTTTTTTTAGTATTCTGCGAAATTTTCAATACTTCACATTTCACATATCTCAACTTATGTAATCAAAGTATTTTATGATCAGTAATAACCAGTGATAGAATTTAAATCGTGGCCTCCAATTAGGTGCACCGAGAAGTGAATGCAAGGCACAAATCAAATTAACAAATGCGTAGCACATTAAAAAGAAGAAATCAACGACAGCAGCAATCTGATCCATTGCACCCATCAAAATGGCTAATTCTGCTATAATAATTGTGACTACCAAACTGAAAAAGATAATCTTGAGTGTTTGAAATCATGCAAATTTACTGAAAATATTACATAAAGATAAATACAACGGTGTTAATAATTATTATTAATTTGACTTTTGTAATTAGATGATATATTTGTAAGTTAATGTTCATTAATATAAGTATGCAATACTACAAAATAAATACCCTTTGAATGGCTCATTTTTTCTGGTAACTTTTGCGAAAGGTTTCAAGGCTGGTATTACATCATCTTTTGCAATTGACTGTAAGAGACGTGGTGCACCTTGAACGAAAAATTGTTCAGCAATACGTTCAAGCTTAGTAAAGTTGCATCTTCTATTTCAAATTTTGTTTAATCATTCAAACTTCACGATTAATTAGCGTATGCTTGATGATTAAATTGTTCAAGTAAAGCGACCATAGACTGTATTTTTTGCAATACTTTTGTTGTAAATACTCATAACAACCAATGATAAACACTAACGACTATTTACATATAAAAGTAACACCATCAACACACTGTTAGTACGTTCGACTACAACGTGTATTAACGTAATCAGTTCTAATAATAAATTTGAAAATGAAGTGTAGCAAAATATAAAAAAATGTATCTTAAACTTACTGCAAAGACATTGAAGTGCAGCGCCGAATGTTGATAGAAATGATCCAACAAGTAACAGCCATTCTGTTGGCCAAGCTAAGTTAGCGACAATCATACCTCCTCGTAACGACTGTCCATACCTGCAAATTCTTTTTGGCTTTTTAAGTTACTAAACTTTAAATCTTATTCTTACAGCATTCTCATAACATGACTGTATGTAGCATATGT